AATTGAGTGAATCAGCCCCCCCTTGATCGACGAGAAGCCTCATCCATGAGCCCACACACTTCAACCTGCATCATCAAGTTTTGGGTACCCTCTTTCCTTATTCTTTTCTTTCACCTTCTAAATCTTCGAATAAGCCGGCTATATTCAATTAGTTTAGTAATAATAGGAATCTAGTATTAAGTAAGATAATTTTAGTTAATCGGACTGTTCGGTTTGGAAAAAGGGACAACTAGAATTGTTGGTATCCTATGAAATCCTGTATTTGGACTAGCAAGTTAATAAATAATTGTATTTTATGTTATCTAATCTGGATTGTGTGTCTTTATATAACTCGCAGAAATCACACATTTAACACTTAAGTAATAAGCAAATATTTATAATTATGCAAATCCACACTATTCCTTATTATCCAATACTATTCTTTCACAAATAAAGATTCCACAATAACAAGAAACAGTTGTTTCTCTCAAATACAGAAATCATAAATAAACACTAAAAATACTGAAATGTTAAAAAATTCAAATAATAATGTGATTTTGTGTTTTTACATTATTTTACTACTTATAATTATTATAACAAATTTTCATAAACTATAAATAAATTGGATTGAAAACTTTTAATCCTGTAAAAATTTAATAAAATAACATTTTCTATTAATATTCTAGCCACTCTAGCCATCTTTAATTTAATGTTTGTACACAAGCATTGTATGCCACTATGTTAAGTTTTGAAGCTAGCTAAAAAAAAATTAGTCAAAAATATCCATTTTATTAATTTTTTTTATGGATTGACAGTATACTTTCATAAAAAAATTTGTTTCATTGATTCACTCATCAGAAAGACATAACCTAATTTATCAATTCTTTAAAAAATTGTTCGGTTTAATTACATTAAAATCGGTATTGATATTAAATAAAATCAAAATCATTAAGAGATGACATACTAACAGAAATGCTACAGCTTTCACTATCTCCTCTTGAATCTGCACTAATTATTCTAACATTACCAAGATGAAGGATTGAAGCAAGTATTCTAAAAATCATCATTTGCTGCGTATCAGAAAATCCTGCAAAATAAATATTAATTTCAATTATATAATAAATTTAATATATATAAATATAAATTTCTTTATTCAATTACATTAATTTTAATAATACTGAAAACACTCAATCTAAAATTATTCTGATTTCATTTAAAAAGCTACAAAACTTAGATTCCACATATATATTTTCATTAGTAGCTAATAATAACATAATAATAAGCATTATTTGTGGATAAATTAAGTTTTATTTTTCAGTCTGTTTGATTTCAGTGATTTTCAGGAAAAAGATTGACTTTTCCAGAAATCATGGTAGTAATTTAAAATATGTATTATGAATAATGGAAAGATATTTTTTAATTTTATATAAACCATTTTGATACAGATACATTAAAATTACTTGAAATTTAGTATCTATATTCAGTAGAGGCCTATTTTACTTTAACCCATATGATTGCATTGACTTGACATTTGCAATAATCATATAGTACAGTATTAATTACATCTCTTATAACAGTCCAAATGCAAGTTTGTCATTTTGATAAAATGTCATTTCTGCATTTAGCACAGTGCCAGTCAAATCATATGGAAAAGGGTTATGCTTAAAATGGTTTGTGTAAGACAAACATTTTTATAAATATAGTAGTTTTTAATCTTTTAAATTCAAAATCTACTTCAAATACAATAGAATCTCATTTTAATGGATCACAAAACAAAAGATTTTTTCCAGGTCCCACCAAATCAATGTAATTTTTACCTCCTTTTAGCAGATCCATTAATTGGAATAACAGATTTTTTTTCTATCCCAAATCTATTGTAAACTTTGCATTTTTTCAACATTTAGTTAATATTTAGGTGTATCTGGAAATTTGTAGTGTTTGATGATGCACTTGTTACATTTGGAATATGCAGTGCTTTCTTTGTTATAGAACGCAATAGAACAGCATTCCACCACCTTTTTTCGATATATTTTAAAAGTTCTAAGAAAATTTTTGAAAATTTGATGTTTAGTCCATATTGAATTGCTCTGTTGAGCATAGAAGATCGGCAACAAAATTATTAAAACGGTCCTGCTCGTGTGCCGAATCTTGTATAAGATGCATTTAATATATTTTTAGTAATGAGATGAGTGTTCCACCACCTTTTTTTGCCCAGAAAAAGCAATGGGAATATGTACAACTGAAGAATTGTACAAAGAGAGTCAGCAGGCTGATACAATTTAAAAGGATCAACTAGTGAACACTCACTGGTCTTAGTGTAGTACCAAAATTTAGAAAGGTCATCAAGTATTTTCAAGCCATGAAGACTTTCCTGATGAGTTTCAGCATAAACAAACAGGTTCTACTGTACACGACATTGCTAATATCAAGCAGTGTTGTAATCAAAAATAGAAAAAAGTGGTATAAAAAGAAATCAAAATGGATGAGCTTTTTAACAAATTGTGAAGTCAAGCAAAGTGCTAATAAACGTATGTAATTTGCTTCTTTTTATGCTTACAGTATCAGCTTTGTTGTACACACATATGACATAATATATAACCATATACAGCATAATATACACATACATCACAAATGTGTTTCTATAGAATAAAGTGGAGATCTCAAGGGACTGAAAAATTTCAAGTACTGGTATTTCTTATATATAGGGGTTAAAAAAACAAATTTTTTCAAACAATAGATATTTTCCTGGGTGTGTGGCAAATCTGTTGTTTGCAATATAACAGATACTCGAAACAACAGATAATAAGAAAGACAAAACCTTTCACACTTTGTTTTTAGCAATTTTAATCCATAAGAACAAATGTTATCAGCTGTTTTGAATGGCCTTCTTCGGGTACAATAAGGTCAGTTGGAACGTTGGTTAGCAAATATTGAAATGATGTCACTGTTTACAAAGGTTTTTTCTTACCGACATCTTTTAAACTTTGTAATCAACAATGATGTCACTAGTAAGAAGAAACCTTTGTAAACAGTGATGTCATTTCAATATTTGCTAATCGACGTTCCAACTGACCTTACTGTACCTGACAAAGGCCATTCAAAATGGCCAAAAATATTTGTTCTTATGGATTAAAATTGCTAGAAACAAAGTGTGAAAGGTTTTGTCTCTCTTATTTTAAGTACTTCTAGCTTTGTGTGCTTAGAAGTTACAAAAGATAATTTTTGGCTGCCCAGTCTGTTAAAATAAGAATTCTTCTGTGTGTATAACATGATCTTACTTATTAAATATTGAGAAATATCAATATAATTTTTATCAGAATTTCCAGAGTTGTTTATGAACAACTCTGGAAATTCTGAATGAAAAGTATGACTCACTTAAAGTGCTTCAAAAAAGATTAGATTTTTTGTAAAACTATCAAACTAATTCAAAAAATTTCTACATTAATTCAATAAGTCAACTTATTTATTTATAATTAAACATTTTCAGATTTTTTGTCTTATTGTCAAATCAAGCACTTAATGAATTCCAACATAGAGAAAGCTAAAATCTGCATATTTTAAAAACAAACTCACATACCTAAAAGATTAAATGCATTTCTAGTTTCTTGAAAGCAAGCAGCATCATTAACACTAGGTATCGTAGGAGACTCTCCTTGATTAGTGTAATGAAATTTTTCACAATTATCTGTACAGAAAAAAAATTATACATTAAATTCATATTTATATTTAAATTCATTAATAACTAAGAATACTCATTGCATCACTTGGAATCAACGAATACTCAAATAGTCAAGAATATTCAATGTATCATTTACGCTACATTAAATAATCTTTTTACAGACAGTTTCCAACTTTTGGTTGTAATGTGTTCCTAAAAATTTGTACAAAAGTAAAATTCAAGCAAAAGAATTTGGAACCTAAGAAAGTTTTAGGTTATTAAAGTAATTATGTAATAAAGTATAAAATATTACTTAAAATGTTAGAACCATAAATTAAACATAAAACAGGCAAAAATCTTTAGTAAAANTCCAAATTAAATTCCATAAATGTCTGAATTAAAAATTATTTATTTATAATTATTAAATTTAATACAAGATGGCAGCATAACTGCCACCTCTAGTCAAATTAATTAATTTCTAATATTTAATTATAGCCTTTACATAGCCCAAAACTTTGGCATATCATTTGACGTGTTTAATATATAACGGGTTATGGTTGTTGATGTTTATATGTAATATGTCTGAACACAAGTTTGGAAAAATGTGTGATCACAAGCGACACTAAGATGCTAGTGGAACAAGTACTAAACACAGACTGATATAGCATGCACACAATCTGGGACTTCCCCTCTTTTTGTCAATTGTTATGCAAATGTCACTCATTAAGCAAATCACTTTTTTTACAATTTGTTTTGCTTATTATGGGAATTACTTGTTATGAGAGATGCTCATTAAGTGAGGTTCCACTGTACTTGGATCACAGAGGTAGGGTGGGTGGCTACTCCCTCCTTACACTGTCACAACCCCACTGTCATCTCCTTAGATCTTGCTTTCATTTATAAATCTAAATTATTTTAAATATAAGGTTATAACAAAATAAATAAAACTAACTGAAACTTTGAATGGTTGTTGGTTATATTTGTTATACAAATTTCCCTCATAGCCTGAAGGGTAAAAATGATTTATTCTCCAAACATATAGAAAAAGTAATTTTACAGCTAAGAGCTAAATATCTTAAAATTGAAGTCTACTTTTTTATAAGAATATCATTATATATATATGTTGAACAATTATTATAAAACCATTTTAATATATAATTATAAAATCTTTAAATTTTACTCTAATGTATATTTTTCAATTTAGTTCATTTTTGTATCAAAACAAAATACAGACTGCATCAGAATTATAAAACTTCACAAATTAAATGTTCATAAAAAATTAGACTTCAATTTTTAAATAATACAATTTTATACACAAGTAAATTTATTAAAAGTTTATTTTAAATTTTAACATAAAACATACCCATAAATATCCAGTACACCAATGAAACGATAAATTTTATCACTCAATGCCAAAGATTTATTTATTTGTGACACAATCCAATTGAACAAGCGAGAATATATATGTTTTGCTAAAGCGTCTCGAGTACATATCGCCTAATTTTTAGATAGAAATCAAATAAATATTAGTAAAGAATAAAATTTATGACACATTAATTTATTAAGTTACTATTCATTAATAACATTTTTGAATAAAACATTTCTATTATTTCAATTGAAAAAATTTTTAACCAGTTCATAAGTTATATCATAACAATACAACTAAAAAAAAAATTATATATATATATATATGTGAGATCGGGGCAACTTCGGCATGCGGGGCAAGTTTGTCAAGCGCTTTTTTTAAAAAACAAATTAAAAGG